TTGGGCCCATACCGAATATTTCCTATTCAATTTTCAAGTCCATAAATAGGCCTTGAATATGGGTTCCAAGTAGTCCGAAAGAGGGACGGGAAGCAAACCTAGCAATCATGAATGGACCAATCTTTATGATATACCCTAGCAATCATGAATGATTCAATCTTTTTTATACAACTTTTATGTTTATTTTCAAAAGTTATTTTCCGACCTATGATATAAACACAAACGGGTGTTTCACACACCAATGATTTTATCTTCTAAAAAAATTTGATGCTAAAAATATTAGTTGCTTGCATTTTGTTATTTGTTATTTTTAAAAAATAATATTTTAAAAAATAGTATTTTTCCAAAATAGTTTTTACATAAATTTTTTATACAATTATTTTTGTAAAGAGGTGTTAAACTAGCTTTTATTTAAGATAAAAACAAAATTTTAATATATTTAAATGTAATGCTATATTTATTTATTTAATATAATTAAAATTTCTTGGTTATTAAGTAATATTTATAAATATTTTTAAAAATATTTTAAAATTTCATAGTTTTTAGACATGAAAATTTTTTTGTCTAATGTGAAAAAAATTGATCATGAGTTTTAGCTTTTGTAAAACTTGATCAATTTATTAAAACTTTTAAGAAATTCGTATACAGTAAAAAATGGAATTCAACCAACAGAAAAATATCTATGAATAAAATAAAAATTATTAATAAAATAAAAATTATTAATTTTTACTAAGTATTACATCACTCAATAACTTTATATTAAATATGACTTTTATAATTTTTCAGATTATATATATAAAATTTTATATTAATCCAAAATATTTAATAGTTTATTTTTATAAAAAAAAATTGACATAATATATACATTTCAAAATATAATAAAATATGAACACTTTGATTATGGTGTGTTTGGATGAGGAATTTATATGGGGTAATTCATTTATTTGAAGAATTTCAAATTCTTTGAGGTGAAATGCTTTGTTTGGATGAGGAATTTACAAAGAATTTGAAATTCAATCATTTGTGAAATTTCTTAAAATAGTAGAGTTTCAAATTCTCCCAAAAATGGGAGAATTTGAAATTCCTCATATTTGTTTTTCTTATTTTACCTATATATTTTATCTTATCTCTTCATTTTTTTAATTATTAGATATTCAAAAATATTTTTAAAATTGTTAAACATTATCTAATATTAATTTTTAAAATTATTAAATATTTAAAAATGGATTAATATTTATTTTTATAAAATTTAATTTAAAAATCTCAACATATAAATATATTTTTAAAATCAATTTTACTATGATGGAATAAAATTATCATATTCAACCTAACAATTTAAAATTTAAGAAATTTGAATTGACTCATCCAAACAAAATATTTTAAGAATAATAGAAATTAAAATCAAAGTAATTCAAATACCAAGAATTTAAAATTCCTTGAATTTGTAAAATTCCTCATCCAAACACACTATCAAGTTATTGTTCAATTTTAACAAAATTTGATATAAATATATAAAGTGATATGAAGTTATAATTTAACGGTTGAATTTACAAAATTTTTATTTAATATAAAATTATTAAGTGGTATAATACTTAATAAAATTACACTGATGTCATTTGAGCCCAATTATATATATATTAACATAAAAAGTATAACAAAATATTTTGCGTTAATGATAAATTATATATATATATATAATATAATGATACTGGAAATTCAAAGGAAGAGAATTTCACTGACCAACAAATGTTTGTATCTTATTATATAATATTATATTTATAAACATAAATATAACAAACAAATTGGGGATGTAGCTCAGATGGTAGAGCGCTCGCTTAGCATGCGAGAGGTACGGGGATCGATACCCCGCATCTCCAAGTTTGTTTTTCATAAGCTTTTTTCTAGTCTGAAATAAATATCAACATCCCTTCCTCTTTCTTTTCCCTTTTTTCCCTCTTCACTTTCTTATATACCCTTTTAACTTTCACCCTCATTATAGCATCTCTTACCTTAAGGCAAAGTAAATAAATGAATGGTCGATACTATTTTATTTTTAATACACTATCTCATGCATCCATTGGAATTAAATCCCAACTTCTTTAAGGGTTTGTCTCTATTTCAAATATTTATATTATTAATTAGATATAAAAGATCTTGAATAATTTTATATCATATTTCTTCACGCAATGATTTTTCTGACTTGAAGTTAAGCTACTGCATATATTCACTTATACCTTTCATTAAAATTCGATGTTAAATATTTAAAAGGTGAGAGTGACAAGAATTGAACGTTTACATGCAATCTAGTCACATAGAGACTTTACATATGAAATAACTATTTTAAAAATAAAAAGAGTAAACAATATATGAACTAGCAATATAAAGGAATTTTATTCTCTTATTCAATAATAGTTATCAAGATAAATTTATTGATTTTTATAATAATTATTTTGAAATTTATATCTATCATAATTTTTTTATTGATCAATAGTCTAGTTTTTTTTTATAAGTATGTATAGAAATGAACTCAAATTAAAATTATTTGATAAAGAATAGTGGGTTATTTTATATATTTTTTAATAATATTAAGAATATTAGAAGTATTTTTATATGGTCTGTGATGTAATGAGACATCTTTTTCTTTTATTTTCTTTTGGAAACAAAAACTTGTTTTCAAAATGTTATAACAAGACAATTTCTTTTGTTGACAATAACTCTGCAACTAAATAGCGTGTGAGGTACAATAAAGTACTTTATCTCATTAAGATTTATTTTGAAATTGAGAAATTAAATTTATGCAACAACAAAAGAAAGATAAAAAAAGAGAGAGAAGTGTTAGACAATATGATTAATATGATAAAAAGAGATAAAGAGAAAGAGTACTTGTATGTGGAAAATGTTTAAATAAATATTGTAGTATATATAATGTAACATTTTAATATTGTAAAAAATAGCTATGTCATCTTTTGTCCTTTACACCTAAGAAGATTAGCGACCAAGCTATTGAAGGGAAAAAATAATGCTAATATAATTCAATAACGATAAATTGAATAACACATAACAAACAAGAAAGGCCTCAATAGTAATACAGCAGTACTGCTGAGCTCATTAGAAGAGATTGAGAATAACAAAAGAAACAAACGACGTTTTCGATAGGTAGCTATAAAGCTGAGAGTGAGGGTAAAGTACGTATAAAATATAACAAAAAAAATACTAGTCACATGGCTAAGGAATTGCTTTTGCTTTTGAAATTGTTTTGTTACAATAACAAATATATTAATATTAATCACCAAAAAGAGTGCAAATCACACAAAAAAAAATATTAAACAAAAGTAAAATATTATTTGTTAATATATTTTTTCATGTAATATTTTTCTACTCCTTTAAACAAGTGTAGACTATATATATATATGGATGTCCATTAATTGTTTTAAATTATAAATTAGTTAGGAATATTTTTCCACATGCCACTGCAACTTTAACTCCATGTTTATGTTGTGAATTCAGCTTTCCATTGAACCAATGTCCAATGGCGACGAATGAAATATAAGCAATAAATGAGTTAATTAAGGCCATTTTTGTGGTTCTCCTTATCTCCTAACGTAGCTTCAATCACGGCATCACCCATGTGCTGCGTTGCCCTATCTCACTTCTCACATCCTCATCCTTTTTCATTTGATTTTTGAGTGTCCAAATCCAAAACAAGGGAATGGCCTTTGTAAGTCTTCAAACACAGTGAACCCACCATGTTATAACATTGATTGAGTTCTGAGGAGGTGGTTGTGATTTTCTGCCTCATAAATGATTAAACATGACTGAGATTCAAACTTTGACACAATATGTGAAAGCAAATATGCCAAACCCATAAATGGGCTTTGAACTTTGAATGTGCTTATGGACGGAGCAATCTTTGGTCAGAGATATTAATTGGTGCTTTAAATCATTATTTTACCCCAGGAATAGTTCTAGTGTAAACCAAGATATCTATGAACAATTAATGTAGTTGGAAGCTAATTCCTTTCCAGACATAAAAGTTATTAGAGTGAGTTTTATGTCTTCTAACAAATTTTTCTTCATATATACAGATAGAGAATCGAACTCCTATCACCATACTTAAAGAATCTAGTAACTGTGATGCACTTTGTTAGTTTTTGTTTCATTATTTATCTTTGAATGTTGGAGGTCCCTAAAGATAGGCCAAATATATAGTGTATAATTGGAGTGTAATCTTTAATTTATAATTCAATTTATAAGATTGAATTAAATTTAAATTTTACTTTTTAAGATAATATAAAAATCCATTTTATCAATTATTATTAGAACATTTACAAATATCAAATTTTATAAACTTTACATTTGAAATGTTTTATTCTCAATACAAGAGATTGAGATGTATGTATTAAACTATAATATTCATCTTATAAACCATTTTTATAAACTTAAGTTTGATTTCAACATTCTTTTAAGACATGACAATATGGATGTCCATTTTAAATTCAAAGGCCAATTCACATTCAATCTACAACGTACAACATTTAATGAAAAAGAAGTTTGTGTTCACTCACACATGTAACAAATTAATTGGCCAAATTCAGTTAATGAGGAAATCAGACTATATATGCCAAAATCAGCTGTGGTAACTGGTAAATTGAAAGCTAGTGACCTGTATGTAGGCTTCATTAAGAGTAAATGTCTTTGACTCGTTTCTTACTAGTGTTAATTAATGACACTTTGTACTTTAATTTGCACATGCATGAGCGTATAGTGTAATTGTTTGAAATTGGAATCAAAGTTATGGGTAGTAGCAAATCCATACCAAAACACACACACAAAAGGAATTTACAACCACGTGGTTTGAGGAATGATAATAAAAAATGAAATAGCTGCACTTGGCGGTTTGGTGTCCCCACACTTGAAAGTGTGTCACTTTGTTGGTTAATTAAGAAAGAACCCTTTTTCTCTCTCACAACATCTATTTAAACCCCACCTATGTTCCTCTATTTTCCTCATAACTCATACTCTCTTTTGTTCTCTCTAGCTATATTAAGTTGTTACTCTATTTATATATCATTCATATATCATTTGAGAAGACTAAAAAAGATGGCGCTTTTGGGGCTTCTCAGCTTGGTGGGGTTTCTTTCTCTGGCTTCACCTGTTTCTGCTTCTGGTTATGGTTGGATGAATGCTCATGCAACCTTCTATGGTGGGGGTGATGCCTCTGGCACTATGGGTGAGTACACTTCATATTTAATTGTCACTTATGTCATGCCATGCCACATAAAATGCACATTTTGTTAATTACAAGAAACAAAATGAATTTTTTTTCTTCACAATTTTAGATTTTATGTTAGCAAAAATACTTATATACAAAATGATAAATTCTCTAACTAAAACTGAAATTTTATCTCAATGTTATACTTAATATTTAATAAAATGATTTATTATATATATATATTATTGATAGAAAAATAATACTAAAAAGCTTGAACTACATGAATGCATTCTAACTTTATCTACATGCACTTTAATTTAATATGTTGCAGGTGGAGCATGTGGATATGGGAACTTGTACAGCGAGGGCTATGGAACAAACAGTGCTGCATTGAGCACAGCTTTGTTCAACAATGGTTTAAGCTGTGGGGCATGTTTCGAGATTAGGTGTGTTAATGACAGAAAGTGGTGCCTTCCACACTCAGTTGTGGTAACTGCAACCAACTTCTGTCCCCCAAACAATGCCCTTCCGAATAATGCAGGTGGATGGTGCAACCCTCCCCTTCACCATTTCGACCTTTCTCAACGTGTCTTCCAACAAATTGCTCAATACAAAGCTGGAATAGTGCCTGTGGCTTACCGAAGGTACTTAATTATACATGATTATCATTTATTATTTGCAGGGTATTTTGGAATTTAATTTATTATCAGAATATTATTATATTGTCTGCACTGCACTGCTTGACTCATCTAATCTAATGCCTTAGAAAACAAAAGTCTAGTAATTGTCGATTTTGACACATTTAGGCACTGGACCCGTGTCTGAACCTTAGTAACGAATCTTTTTCAGTTCCTTTGTGCTGATTCATGTTTTTAAGGCCTTTTTTGGCCCAAGGAATATTATATTCACAAAAATTTATATATACACAAAATTATAAATAGTTAAAGCCGGCAGTGCAGATTATGGCTGTTTAACTTTTTTTTTTAATAAAATAAACATTTTCTATTCTTTTAACATATATTTGTTTAATTTTTTTTATTTTAATTTTTTCACTTTTAATTTCTTATAATTAGTGTCCTAAGAGAACATGTTAACATTTTTCTTATATATTTACATGGCTCCGAATTATAAGTATTTCTTATCCAAAAATGTATTTTGAAAGCAGGCGAGCTAGTAGGGTTTTCCAGACTACAAGTACAACAGCTTTTTCCAAAAAAAAGAAAAAAACAGCCGTTGAGTTGTTAACTAGATTCCTTTTCTTTTCCCCTAATTTTTGGTTTGTTTTGAAATTTTTGATAAATAGATTCGCTAGTTCACGTTGTAGTGATTCTGTGACTAGGAATCGAATCGAATATATTCCATTTACCAAGTGACCGCACCCTTTTTTATCTTGATACCTAAGTTTCCCATCACTTTATTCTCCAAACATTTTGATTCATTTTCCTTTTTTGCTTTCACTATTGATAACGTAGGGTCCCTTGCCGAAAGAGGGGGGGCATCAGATTCACCATCAACGGCCACTCGTACTTCAACCTAGTCCTAGTTACCAACGTTGGAGGTGCTGGTGATGTTCATGCTGTTTCCATCAAAGGGTCAAGAACAAATTGGCAACCAATGACTAGAAACTGGGGTCAGAATTGGCAAAGCAACACTTACCTCAATGGACAAAGCCTCTCCTTTAAGGTTACCACTAGCGATGGACGCACCGTGGTCTCTTTCAATGTTGCACCCTCAACTTGGTCCTTTGGCCAAACCTTCTCTGGCCATCAATTCATCTAATTAAGGAACACAAAAAAACAACATACACCCTTTACATTATTTAGTGGCTAAAGTTATTGTATTTGTTATACTTAGTGGGAGTTTTCTTTAGTAGCAATGTATTAGAAAAGTGTCTTAGATTATACTGTGGTGGTATAATACGAGTGTTGGTATATAATAGAAAATTAAGTGATATGGTATAGGAGTTGAGTGATGGACTCATGGAAGGGCTTGTTTTAGGATGGTCCTTGTCTTTTGAATTGTGTGTGTGAGGGGTTTTGATTTGTTCTGCTCGGAATTTGAAAAGGTAGAACATAGTTTAGGTGGCAGGGGTGGATGTTTAGGGTTTACCACCCGTTGTTGTGTGGTTCGTGTTGTGTCATATCCACAAATGGAAAAGGAAAAGCGTGTTATCCTGCTAGCTTAGCAAAAGAGAATAGAATAGGAAAAAATATGAAGCATTTTTGCTTCTTTAGGAAGTTATGGATTGTGTTGATTGAACTTTATGTAGTTTAGTGAGTGTGAAAGTGAATGTATGACATAATGTAAGGAATAAAATTATGCTCCTTGTGACTTCAAAGTGTTTTTTTTTTTTTTTTTCCCTCAGTAAGCAGCCTTTTCCCTTGCTTATTATTTAGTTATGTGGTTTATTACCTTTTTCTTTCTTTCCTTTTTTGGGGCAGAGGGGATATTTACTTCAAATAATAAAATACTAGAATTGAAAATGATGATCAACACGCGACCCTATTAACTGTTAATAAAGAAAATTACCATATTTGATATACTTATTTTTTTAAAAACAATTTTGTCTCTTCAAATTATCTCTCAAACTGCTTTTTTCTTTCTCTACCATTTTTTTAAAAAACCCCTTTTTATAATTACAGTATCTAAAATATGGTTACACTATTTTATTATTAAGAGTTCACTTTTAAATTTTCATATTTTATTTTCAAAATATATGAAAGTACAGAGTCTTTATTACGCTAGTTTATTATAAAATCGATGAAAAATTATATTACCAATTGCTTATATACTCAATACATCATTAAAATAATATATGATAAATGACGTGAGAATCTTAATTTTTACAGGAAAATACAAGTAGTAGGTTTCATGTTAAAATAGCCTGTTCATGCATACTTTTGTTGCAGGGACGATATTATAATAATTACTAGTTATCCATAACCAATTTTGATCTATAACAGAGGAGTTATATCCAATTTGTATCTATAAAATATATAAAAATAATAATTTAATTCGATATATACATTTTTTTTAATAATTTTGTCTTTATAACAATTTTTAAACTACTTTCTTTCATTATAATAAAAAAAAAACCATTAAATCAATAGGAAAAATGAGTCAGATAATTTTAAAATAGGTTTGTTACAGAAAAAATGTTATCTGTTATTCTGTATTGATTAAATGGGCTTTCCGGCCTTTTTATATTCTTTTTGGGCTTTTTGGCCTATAGCAAAGTTTTTTTTAATAATTTTATCTTTAGAATATTTTATATTCAAAATAAAAAGTTGTCTTATAGTTTAACGATTACAAACAAATAAAATTTGAATCCAATTCTTCTATCTTTATTTTACTTATATCATAAGTTTCTTATTTTATCAGAACAAGAACAATTACAATATAAAATATAAAAAATTGTATCTATACACTCTTAAATAAGATGGGTACCATAAAATTTCTCTAAAAACCATATTTTCTAACTAAACAAACAGAGAAAGAGATCCTAAAAGAATATATTAGAAAACTTGTCACTAACAATGTAGGATTCCTCCAATACATGGATATATCTTAGCTAGAATCGACCCAAATGGTAAGCCAGTGAGCCACGTGTCTATCAATCATTGGGTGAAGATGATATTTGCACCGCTCTCATCTATCATGCCACGTGTCACTAACCGACCCCACAGAATCTTTCCCCAGCCAACAACAACGAGGAAATGGATTTGCGGATATAACCCCAAGATAAAAGGATAAGCCACAAACGCTCCTCCACCGTCCGATCTCAAATATCGCGCCAATCAACGGTCGAGCACAAACCGGACACACGAACCACAAGAATGACCCCGAAAGGAAAATAATACATATGAAATAAGCATATGGCATGCCCAAAACAAAAACCACCACATTGTTAGCATCACTATCACATCTTCCTCCTCTGCCATGGCCACCGTGACCACCCAAGCCTCCGCCGCCATCTTCCGGCCATGTGCTTCGAAAACGAGGTTTCTGACCGGCTCTTCCGGTAAACTCAACCGGGAAGTTGCTATGAGGCCAATGGGGTGCCCTCCTTCTGCCTCTTTCAAGGTTGAAGCCAAGAAAGGAGAGTGGTTGCCTGGCTTGTCCTCCCCACCTTACCTCAATGGCACGTACGTAATTATATATAATACCTTTATTTATTTTTAATATTAAATTATTAATACTTGTTCAAACTTTTATTTATGCAATTTTGTTAGTGACATTATAATTTTACGTACCATAGACTTGTACACTGCTTCTTAATAAGTTCAACTTAATTTTAGTAATCGTGCATGCCTGCTTTTATTTGTAATTTTTCTTTGACAAAGGAAGTTTTTATTTTGTTATTTACCATGTAAAATCGATTTCAACCAAGTTTTGGTTTCTGTATGTTTTTAATTTACGTGCTTCCCAGAAATGACATGCATTTCACGTACGAGGATGAATTTGGAAACTTAGTTTGTGTCAGGATCGGATTAGAAGTAGAATTTAATCACATTTTGTCATGTAATGTACGGAAAGTGTGTTAAGTTTTTTGATAATTATTTTAAGAAATTTAATTAGAAATTAGAATGTATTGACATGCATTATTATATAATTATAAATTGTTATGTATAGTAAGATAGTTTAGTTTTGTAATAAGTACACTTTAGATGATTTTAACTAGTTGGTAATATTTTTAAAAAGATTACTTGTAAGCCATATATAGAGTGATTTTATTTTTAATCGGTTAATAGTTTGGGAACTAAACTGTTAATAGACGTCACATACATAAGGACAAAAGTTTAACTAAATCAAATAATACTATATAGTCTTGAGTATAACTTTGTTGTGAACGGTAACATAAATCAAATAGTTTGCTGTTTGTGAAACTCTTTTCCTGTGTTAGTATGTATTCTTGCAACTGAAAATGGATCCATTCATTAACATATATACATGTGTTTGTGGAACTATTAGTCTTCCTGGTGACAATGGATTTGACCCTCTGGGGCTTGCTGAGGACCCAGAGAACTTGAGGTGGTATGTTCAAGCTGAGCTTGTGAATGGACGTTGGGCTATGTTGGGTGTTGCAGGAATGTTGCTTCCAGAGGTTTTCACCAAAATTGGAATCATCAATGCCCCTCAATGGTATGATGCAGGAAAATCAGAGTACTTTGCCTCATCCTCAACCCTCTTTGTCGTTGAGTTCATTTTGTTCCACTATGTGGAGATCAGAAGATGGCAGGACATTAAGAACCCTGGTTCTGTCAACCAAGACCCTATTTTCAAGCAATATAGCTTGCCCCCACATGAGTGTGGATACCCTGGTAGTGTATTCAACCCCTTGAACTTTGCACCAACTTTGGAGGCCAAGGAGAAGGAACTTGCCAATGGTATATACTATATACATACATCCTTTATTATATTCTATGCCTAAGAGTCTGGTTGAATAAATTTCTTTAGAAACATGTCATAGAAACAAAAATTAAAATAAGTTTTTTTTGCAAGTTAAAATTAGGTTGTGTATAAGTTAAAACAAGTTTTTTTTTGACAAGTTATGTGTCATAACCCAAGTTTAGCTTATGGAAAATTATATTTCATTTTTTCTTTTTATTTTTCTTTCTTAAAAGTGTTTCTTGAAAAGTTTATCTATGGCAAGAGTTTATTTATTTATTCTTTGTGTGAAATTGTGGAGCTAACCTTGTTTGGTTATGATTTATGTAGGGAGATTGGCCATGTTGGCATTCTTGGGATTCGTTGTTCAACACAATGTGACAGGCAAAGGACCATTTGATAACCTCTTGCAGCACATCTCAGACCCATGGCACAACACCATCATCAATACAATTCGTGGCTATTAAGTTTGTATGCAATGACATGATAAGCCTGTGTCCTTCTCGTGTAATGTGTCCCGAATGGATGAATTTTGAGAGAGATTTGGGCGTGATTGATAAAATCCATATCTATGTTCATGTACAGAGGAATTAAGATGGTTTTATATTGTTGTTTAGACTCGACTCCATCAATTAGTAACTAAACATGATACTCTAAAAAATTTTAAAAAATCTAATGCATCATTTCTAAAGTATGTAAATTTTACTTGCATTTATTATACAAATTTCAAATTTCAAAACTCTGCCACCAATTACAATCACAAGTGATCAGTCAAAATAACTGAAATATTTGCATTTGAACAACAAACAGCTAATACATTTGACTTATATAGATATCACGTTCAGATTACGTTACTTCTAGACCTAAGAATAGTTTAGTTGGCCCAAATCTTGATAAAAAATGTGGAACGGAGCAACTATTTGATAACACCATTTTTCGCTAGCTAGCTAGCAGTAAGAGGCGAAGCAGGGAGCAGGCGAGGGCTTCGTCGCAGTGGGTCGGGCTGCTCCGGCTGGCATCGGTTGTACCGACCGGCTGACCGAAGCATGGACAGCTGGGGCAGCAACAGAAGTGTGAGGGATAGAGGTGTGATGGTCGTGCGAATGGAACGACCCCTGAGTGTGGGTCATCTCAGAGGGTTTCCATGTGGGATCCCGGTACTGATTTTTGAGGGCAGCATTCTCCTCTCGCAA